TAAAATAGGAAAAATGTTTATTGCTATTGTATTGTGTTTATCTTTAGTATAGTCTTTGAAAATTTTTAATTTATTTGAATCAAACAAAAAGATGTGGAATTCTTTTATTGAATTACATCATGAAAAAAATTTGACCATACACATATCAAAGTGAGTATGAGTCATTGGGGTGTTCGGTCAACATAGTTTAACAAAACTATATATGGTCCTATAGTAAAATTTACTATTGAATCTTTTTTGTACTACATAAAATATAATGTGTCCAAACCGGAATTACTTCTGAAAACTGGTTAATTTTCCAGTTCATAAATTAATCACGATATATCATACAATATTAAGTAATACAAATTCAGCTTTAACTACTATACAAATTAATTGTTTAAAAATCTTTGATGCAATATCAGATCCAGATAGCTGAAATTGTGCTTCCTGAAGTGGAGTTTTTTTTGTTTCATTTCTTTGTTTTCGTATCTCTTTTAACTCACTAGCCAAATTTTCTTTTGAGATCTTGCTTGATGACAAGCGAAGCTTTGATTGTTTTATTGATAATGACATGTTTGCATGTGTTTTCAGATCAAGTTTGTTAAAAAGACCTTTGACTTGCTGCTGGTGGATGATAACGAAATTATAAATAGGGGAAAATGATATATTGGATCGTCACAAATGCAAATTGCATAAATTCTTCAAGAAAACTGCTGTTTTGACATAGCAATTCACTCAAACCAAAGTCATTTGTTATTCCATTATTTTGTCATCTTCCAAATCCTGAGCAATTTCGCAATTCCAAATCAGAAGGTGGAGAGATCCAAGGTTTTTGGAGAATCACATGATAAAAGCTAAATGCAAATGATTGTGCATTATTCCTCCAAGCTGGCAAACTGCTAATGGTAAATGAAGCCATGGTAAAAACTATTTTTGAAAGGATTCTAAGGCTTTTGTAATTTCATGCTCTAAACTATCAAATAGAATTTGAAATTCTTCATTAGATAACACATCTACAGCTTTTAAAAGCTAATCTAAAAAAAAAAAAAATCAAAATTACTAGTAAGATTTTGAAGAACTTTGGCATTCAAAAATTTTTTCTGGCATTTTATGAATACATTAACCTAGAGGCAATGCAATTAATTGTCCATTTTCATATAATCATGGAGTAGTATCTTGCCCCATTAAAAATTGCATTAGAGGTTCATAAAAGTGCTTGGCAAAGTTAACTAAGCATTTAACTTGAATATTTAATTTGGAATTAGAAAGTCAGGTTTTAAAAAATATCAATTATTGAGATAAAATTTAGGCATTTTTTAATTTTTTAATAAACTAATATGCAAATTCAATATGGACAGAATGACAATTAAAATATTATTTGGCTATTTATAATTC